GCGGCAACGCATCTAGGGTTACAATGGCGAGCACACCACCGTAGTCAAGCCATGGAAAGGAGGCTGCAACTGGATCAGCAACCTCAAGAGCAACAATGTCTGGTGTTCGAGGTTTCCAGTTTGGTACTTACACTGAGCAGCAACAAAATGAGCAGCAACAGCAGAATACCGTCAGATCTGAAGTGATAACTTTTGGTAACCCTTTCTACTTGAACCCTAATGAAGCGCTGAACCAATCCATAGGAACTGAGGTGTTTGATGGCACAAATTACACTATGTGGAGTCGTTCAGTAATCATGGGTCTGAAAATGAAACACAAGCTGGGCTTCATCGATGGAAGCATAGCAATGCCTCCACCGAATGATGCGATGTTCTTACTGTGGGATGGCTGTAATACAGCTGTTCTTTTATGGATTTTGAATTCCTTGCACAAAGATCTTAAGCGTTCTGTTATGAACCATGTCAGTGCCAAAGTTCTATGGGATGAGTTGAAAAGAAGGTATGGAAAGCCCAATGCCATACGAATAACTAATTTGGAGGATGATATTCACAAATGCAAGCAGGGGAACCGTACCATCAACCAATATCACAATGACATTAAAGGTCATTGGGAAGAATTCATGTTGTTTAGTCCTATTGTTCCTTGTAATTGTGCTCCAGGGAATGTCAATCCATGTGATGCTGTAGTGGCCTACACAGAGAGTCAGGAAACTGACTATCTAATTCGATTTCTAAGGGGTCTGCACCCAGATTATGAAATCATTAAGAGTCAGCTGCTATCTAGGAAACCACTGCCTACTGTCTCTGAAGCAGTGGATGATTTGCTCCAGTATGAGCAAAAGTTGAAGTCTGAATCACATGGAAGTGGAAGGAGAACACAAAGTGTGGCATTGGCTGTTGAGGCAGAAGAAGAGGACAAGGAAAGAAATTCTGTATTTTCTGCAAGAGGACAAACCACAATGTGGAACAGTGCTGGAGAGCCAAGAAGAAAAGGGAAATGCAAAGTGGGAATACCTCAGGAGGAGCACAAAACAATCTTGGTGGCTTTGCAGGATCAGTCTCACAGGCAAGCTCTAATGATTCCACTACTGACAAGAGCTATGCAAGTTCCAATGAAACTCCAAATGGTAGTCCAGTAAGTTCTTCTAAGTCTGTGGTTGGTTTTACACCTGAGGAGATGAACAAGCTCAGGTATATGATGCAATCTGGTACTAGCAGTGTCTCCTCACCACCACTCTCACCCTCACTACCTCATAATGCATACTCAGTGTCTCAGACTTTACCACCATATCCCAGTTTCTCAGGTAAATTCAGCCTGTCCACATCTAGTCAGTTTAACCAATGCCAATGATCTTTGGATCCTAGATACAGGGGCTTCAGACCACATTTATTGTTCTTTAACCTCTTTTATCCAGCACAAACCAGTACAGAACACTTTTGTGAATCTGCCTAATACAACTAGGGTCTTGGTAACTTATATTGGCACGGTTAGACTATCCTCAGGATTGATCCTTCATGATGTTCTTCTTGTTCCTAGTTTTGCTTTCAACCTAGTTTCAGTTAGCAAACTCACCAATGATTGCCCTTTGGTCTTACATTTTCACTCCAATCTGTGTCATATTCAGGACCAATTAAGCTTGAAGACGATTGGTTTAGCAAGAGAGCATAGAGGTCTTTATCATCTCACCCTTTCACCACCAAACCAAGACCAGAAGCTAGAACCACAAGCAGCCACCATCTTCAACTTCAACCCTGTCCAGTTTGACATTTGGCATTGGAGATGAGGACATGCTAGTAGTGATAGGATTTCCATGTTGCAGAAATCAAATTCTACTGTAACTAGTACTAAAATCCTACATTGTGATGTGTGTCACTTTTCTAAACACAAAAGACTTCCTTTCCCTGTTAGTACCAGTATTGCAGATTGTGCTTTTGCATTAGTTCATGTTGATATTTGGGGCCCTTTGTTTGTTGAATCTTATGATGGTTATTCCTATTTTCTAACTGTGGTGGATGATCATACAAGAGCAGTTTGGGTCTATCTTATGAGACACAAACATGAAACCAGGGAATTGTTGAAGGGTTTCTGTGCATTGGTTGAAAACCAGTTTAATGTATCTGTTAAGGTGATTAGAAGTGATCAGGGGCAGGAATTTCATATGAAAGATTACTTCATGGACAAAGGGATAGAACACCAAATGTCTTGTGTGGAAACCCCTGAGCAAAATGCCAGGGCTGAGAGGAAACACCAGCACATCCTCAATGTGGCTAGGTCCCTAAGGTTTCAGTCTGGTCTTCCCTTAACTTTCTGGAGTGACTGCATTTTACATGCAGTTCACCTGATAAATTGTTTGCCTACTCCTATCTTACATGGTAAATCTCCCTTTGAAAAGCTTTATCAACATCAGCCCTATCTTGGTAATCTCAAAGTCTTTGGAAGCATATGTTATGCCAGTACCCTAAGTCATAACAGGACCAAGTTCTCCCCTAGAGCCAGGCAATGTGTCTTCTTAGGCATACCTGCAGGTGTAAAGGGCTATAAGCTCTTGGATTTGGAGAGCAGAAAGGTGTTTCTGTCTCGAGATGTTGTTTTCTATGAAACAATCCTTCCTTTTAGAGACTCACAGGACACATCTACATCTTCTTCATCACCTCCTCCCCCTGACCCTCTGCTGATTTCTACATCAGCTCCTCCTGTCTTAGTGCCTGCTTCTTCTCCTCCTATTTCTTTGACACCTGAGACTTCTGATCCAGTCTCAGCTGCAAGGGGGGATCCAACCTTTAGTGAAGCAGAAGCAGACCAGCAGCCTGAATCTTTAGAAACTTCATATGAACCTCCTCATGAAGCTGATCAGACTGAACAGGAGTGTGAGTTAATACCACAGGCTGAGTTTGAACCTCCTTTAAAGAAGTCAAACAGGCAACCAACATTACCAGCAAAGCTCAATGACTATGACTTGGATCCACAGTTAACATTTGGAGCTTTTGGCACAGTTGCAGCCACAAATAAGTATCCTATGTGTCTGAATGTGGATTGCTTGAATGAAAAGGATAGAATTTATGCCCTAAGTGTGTTGAAACATGAAGAGCCAACCTCATATCATGAAGCAATCAAGTCTATTGAGTGGAATAGAGCTGTGATTGAAGAGATACATGCACTAGAAGCAAACCAGACCTGGGAAATTGTGGAAGCACCACCTGACAAACATATAGTTGGATGTAAGTGGGTTTTCAAACTTAAACTGAAGCAGGATGGCTCTATAGAAAGGTACAAGGCAAGGCTAGTGGCTAAAGGGTTTACACAAATTTATGGGATTGATTTCTTGGACACTTTCTCTCCTGTGGCCAAGATCAATTCAGTAAAAGCCTTGTTAGCCATAGCAGCTGTGAAGAACTGGACGCTTGAGCAGTTAGATGTATCTAATGCCTTCTTAAATGGTGATCTCTGTGAAGATGTCTATATGCAGGTGCCTTTGGGAATAGAGTTGCCTCCTGGAAGTCCAAAAAGAATGGCTTGTAAACTAAAGAAATCGTTGTATGGTCTTAAACAAGCATCAAGACAATGGTTTGCAAGGCTAACTGATTTTCTTTTGAAGAATGGGTTTTATCAATCAAATTCAGACTACTCTATGTTTACTAAGTGGGTACATGGTAGAATTGTCATCTTACTTGTTTATGTAGATGATATTATACTAGCTGGAGATGCTCAGACAGATATAGATCAAGTGAAGAAATCCTTAAGTAAGGAATTCAAGATCAAGCTGTTGGGACCCTTAAAATATTTTCTGGGCTTGGAAGTGAACATGACTGCAGAAGGCATAACTGTGTGCCAAAGGAAATACTGCATGGATCTTTTGACTGATACTGGATATCTGAGTGCCAAGGGATGTCAATCACCATCAGATCCAAAAGTCAAGCTGGGAGCAACACAAGGTACACTGCTTGAAGACCCAGAACAGTATAGAAGGTTAGTTGGAAGGCTCCATTACATCACCATAACCAGACCTGACCTGACTTACTCAGTACAGCAATTATGTCAATTTCAAAAGAAGCCTTATTCTGATCATCTCCAAGCAGCTTATAGAGTATTGAGATACCTTAAGTCATGTCCAGACCAAGGTATTCATTATAGCAGTAAAGCAGAACTGAAGCTGGTGGGATTTTGTGATTCTGATTGGGCTAGCTGCCCTGACACAAGAAGGTCAACCACAGGGTATTGTACTTTCCTAGGAAGCTCTCTACTTACCTGGAAGACAAAGAAGCAAACGACTGTGTCCAGATCATCATCTGAAGCTGAATATAGGGCATTGGCATTGCTGGTTTGTGAGATTGATTGGCTGAGAGTTCTGTTGGGTGAAATGGATGCTAAAATACCACTACCTGTTGCTGTGTACTGTGACAACAGGTCTGCAATTCACATTGCAGAAAACCCCGTGTTCCATGAGAGAACCAAGCATATCGAGATTGATATGCATGTCATAAGGGAAAGGTTAAGGACAGGTTTGATTAAGTTGTTTCATGTTAGCACGATTAATCAACTTGCAGATATCTTCACTAAGGGCTTGGACAGGCATAGGCTGAAGGATTTACTTGACAAGTTGGGAGTAACAGGAGTACCCACAACTTGAAGGGGGGTGTCAACAGACCTTGGAATCCTGATGCCACGAGGAGTTGCAGCTGAAGTGAAGAACTGAAGAGAAGCAGGACGAGAGGAAGAACGAAGTCGTTTAGCTGAAGAAGGAACGCAGTCGTTTTGTTTGTTATTTACTCTGCTTAAACGAAACTGTGTCGTTTATATGTTAGGCGTAATAGCCATTGTTAAACAGTGCTTATTTTGTAATAGGGCCAGTGAAAAACAGACAAGTGTCTGCTAAGAACAAATCAAACTTTGAGGATCATATATATACTGCAAACAGAGCAACCCTGATCATTGAGGGTTTTGCTTCTACCCTAGCAAATTTTCTCCATACCTATCGACAAGTCTATGATCAACTACAAATTCGAATTGAACAAATTTGTTTGGATTTCTTCTTTTTTTTTACCTTTCTTTTAAGAAACAAAGTTGGTAGGTCTAAATAACTTGATCAAATTTTCATCAACCCTCAGTGTAACTTGATTCTGAATGTTGAACTTTGGTCGTGTCTGCTAAAAAGTCCCCGCCGAGAAAAAGGTCATCCACTAGAACTGTTGCCTTCTCCTCCTCTGTCGGCGGAAGCGGCAAAGGCTTTGATTCTGTTTCAATATGAGGCAACCTAACATCCAGATCCTCTAGAAATGGGTTATAATGGTGATCAGGGACTTGATTACTAGTAGTCGCCGAAATTCCGAATTCCAATCCAATTGATGAACCAGAATTTTCAGATCCATTCAAATCAAAGAATCCAATAGGGATTTCGGTGCTGGGCTGCTTCTCGAGCTCGACCGGAACAATCTCCCATCCCGAATTTGAATTCTCCAACGCCTTCTCATCATTCTCTATCTTCAAATCCTCCAGATCCCAATCGTCCAGTGACAACAAATCTAGAGCACCACTACTACCCTTTGTGTTTCTCGTCCCTTGATCGAATGAAAACGAGCTCGACGACACGATAATATCTTTGCCTGCTGCGTCGATCATGTCCTTATTCTCTGACGACATCGGCGACTCTACCTCTTGCTCCTCCATCCCGGCGAGTCCCATCAAATCCTCCAACGATGACAATTGACGAGCGCGTGATGATGAAATTCCCTCCGCCGCAACCTCTTCCTCCTCCTCCAACTCCGGTCTTCGCGATGGAGACGGGCCGCCACCACCAGCCACTGCTGGAAACGAAGCTTGGTCTCTCAGAAACTCCTGCAACGTCCCAATTAGCTCCCCGGAGATCTTCCTAATGTTGGGATACTCCGATGCCCTCCCCACGCCCATCGATTTACAGAAATTGTAGAAAGAAGAGAGCTCCTCGAATTGCTTCATTGCCCTCACGCACGCCCGAAATGTAGTTGCGCAAGATTGGTGCGGTAGGTGGAAGAAGCTATCAACGAGGAGAGCCAATCCATCGGAGATATCCTTGTATAAATCGAAACTCTCCTGAACGATGGCGTATAGACCGATATGAACCAGTCGGTTCGATTCCGCGGCCCCCGTTGGCCGTGTGGCCATCACGCGATCCAGCAGCTTCTGCCAGTGAAAAATATGGTCAAGGAGCACAGCCGGGTTCATGCCGTCGTTGAAATACATCTTCGTCGTCTTCGGGGGTTGGAATTTCCCCGTTCGGACACGCTGCGTAGTGAAGCTGCTGCGTTGTAACTTCCCGGTGATGAAGCAATCCAGGCGTTCGTCGAGGTAGAGTGCGAAGGTCCGCACAAATGCGGTGAAATCCCAAGGGCTCTTATTCGAATCATCGCGAAATCCCGAGAGGTTGAGTATTCTGGCCCCACGCTTGCTGACTTCTCGGGGGAAGTAAGGATCGCCGCCGTCCTGAAAAATTCGGAGGACGAGCATCAGAGATTTCAAGGCGACGATCCATTTTCGGGTGCGCCCGATTCGTTTGGAAATGACGTGGGCGCAGGCGACGGCACAGGCTTTGCTGGAGGAGATCAAGGAGAGGATCTCGGTGACGTAGCGCTCGTCGATGGGAGAATCGTCGTGGCGGGTGGCCTTGAGGATGAGGACTTGGAGGTTGGAAGCGTTGGTGCTGGTGATTTTGGCGAAGCTTATGCTGGTTTGGTCCTTCACCGCCCCGATTGCCTTGCGTAATTTGCTTGGCATGATTCAATTGGGAGGGGGGAATTTCTGTGTCCTTTCTTCTTTTTCTTATGATCCTTTGGGTGGGAGAAAAGTAGGAGTTTGTGGGTGATTAGGGGAGAGGGTTTGGTTGTGGAGATTTTTCAAGAGGGCAGGGGAAAGGAGCGGCGGGGAGAAAGGAATGGAATGGGGCATGTCCGGTTGTTGGCGTTGATTGGATCGTTAGAAATCGTTAATCATTTCTCTTTTTCTTCCCATGCTATTAGAAGAAGAATAAACGAAGAGAGTGGAGTATTTGGGGGAAAGTCGTTTGGGCTTGTAGTTGGGCTTTTAATATCTTGTCGGAAGTAATCTTAGGATGATTTTTTTACGGGCCCTTTTTTATATTTGGGTTTGTAGGAGCCGTTGTTCTCTAGTGTGCTGAACTTGGGCTTATATCCAACCGAGGGGTGCAGCCGAGTCATGTGCTAAACTTCTAGCTCTCTGAGATCGCATTACGGAGTGTAAAAGGTCGGATGTCATTATGGATCATGTGCTCGCTGGGAGAAGTTACGGTGCTAATCACATAGGGGGTTAGCACCGTCCTAACCTTTTCTAATTTTAATTTAATGACTATAAAAATACTAAGGGTAAATTAGGGATATTGTGCATTAATTATTGATTTCCATTTTTAATTAAATATGTTTGTGGGCAGATTTTTTGGGATTACCGTACCAAACGGTTTCTATTCTGAATTTGGTACTAGGGTTTTATTTTCAAATTTTTGGGATTTTCTAATCGTAAATGGAGGGTGGTTGTACGCAATGTATCCCCGACGACGTATGCAAGTCCAGCAAAAGGCTACTACCAGTGAAAAAGTTTTACAACAGTTCAATACAAAATTACTATTAACATTGGTTTTCCTAAACTAAAAATCACTACTAACCTCCGCCATTACGTCATACAAAATGACCACAAATATTATTTTTCCAGAACTGAAAAATCACTACTAAACATACATAACTAGTAACAGAACTATCACTACACATAACTGAAATCACAACTAATCTTCATTGCTAAAATTAAAACACTACTAAATAGAACAGAAAATCACTACGACAATTGAAATCACTACTGAACTTCACTGCTAAAATTAAAATACTACCAAAACAGAACTGAAAACCACTACTAAAACACCCCTATAAATTCGTACGCAATTACAAATCTCTATTAAAATTACAAATCACTATGATTAATCAAGATCTGAAGTACACTACACACTGTTGACTGTCGTAAAAAGACGGAACTTCGTGCAACATCGATCAAACAAACAAAAAAGAGTGTATCTAAAATTATATACCCACCCGAAAGTCATGATAACAGTCTTCAATAAACAGGAAAATCATATATACAAAACCCAAAAAAAAAAAACACTACTATTTTTGAGAATCGCTAACAATTCCAATTCTAAAAAAAAACATTACTAGCAAGGAAAACACTACTTCATATGAAGAAACCTTACTACTGCCTTTGCAAACTATTAGCCTTGAAAATCACTACTAATCTAGATGTGAACAAACAAAGCCAAGAAGGATATCAGATATGGAATTCTAAACCCACTCGAAGGCCTCCATAACAAGACTTCAACCCACCCGGAGGTGAGGCCAATGCAGATGACGACGACAAAGGCGAGGGTAACGAAGGCGAAGGCGTCGGCGATGCAGACAACGACGGCGCAGGCGAGGACGGCTACGACAACAGGGAGGGGGAAGACAACAACGAGAGGTGCAAGAACAACAATTTTTTCTTGCGATTCACTCTTCTAATGAAAGAGAAAACAGAAAGGGAGAGGAAAGGGAGAATAAAAAATGGAAAATATAAAAAGAGAAGTTATAGTTTAATTGTGACTTTGAAAATTTAATTAATTTAGTTTTAAAATTTTCAAAACTATCTTTCTTTAATATCTACCGTGGGGAGGCTGTCGTAGTATTGGGTTATTATTCTACTTTTGGTTTGAGTTACTAGCTAACAGGGTAGTTATTAGCGCTTTTCTTTTGATGAAATGAAACCCATCGATTCATAAAAAAAACATCTATCGAGGATACAGAATTAAAAAGATGAAGAGGAATTAATGAAGTTAGTATGGTGCTAACCTTTAGTGAGTTAGCAAGCCATCCCATCCCGTGCTCGTTTGTGTAGACATCCAACTCGTCCTGAACAAATGTAATGAAACGACACTTTAACCACTTGAGCTACCATGCAATCAATTTTAACACCGTGCATGCACTTTGATTACCTTTTTGGCCTACACATTATGGCTTAATTAATTTCATGCGTCCTCTCTTAAGGAAAAAAAACAGATGATTTATATAGAGAAGCGTGTGAATGAACATCTAGAAATCTCTAATTATATATGGGTTAATGTCATATTTGGTCACTGAGATTACTAAATCGTGTAATGTTTAGTTACTAGAAAAATTTAATATCAATTTTGGTCACTCGAATCACTGAAACAGATCACATTTGGTCACTCTCCTGTAGCCTCTGTCCAACTACAGTCACTCGAATTATTGAAACATTTCACATTTAGCCACTCGAATTACTGAAACAAGAGTGAGTAAATGTGACCCGTTTCAGTAATTCGAGTGACTAAAATTGATATTAAATTTTTCTAGTAACTAAACATTACACGATTTAGTAATCTCAGTAACCAAATATGATTGTCAGTCGTTAAGTTACAAAGGCAGTAGTGGAGTTGACGATAGGAGCTGCTTATATAGTGGGATTAGGTAATTAAGCTTGGAAGCAGTCTTTCAGTCTGAACATTGGGTTGCGGGAATCGACAATAAGAAGGGACAAGAAAATGAGTTGCACATAATTCCACTGCAAACAACAGTAATAGTTGCATGTGACACTTCCACTAGCAAAGCCAAAGAAGCAAGAAGGAGAATCAGCCTCCCACTACCGACTCCACCCTGCTCTCTCTGCGCTATAAAATTCCAAAGCCATGTAATATAAATAATAAGTTTAGAAATCAAATAATTAAGCGAATATACTGCATTGAAATGGTCATTTCAAAGTGTAGAAAATAGATATATTTTACATTCTTCAATATATAAAAACATGTTGTCGTTGCCTATGAAATCAAAAATTGTTTCAACATGGTATTTCATGTTGTATAAAACATGAATTATATGAAGCTTGTGTATTCTTCAATATACAACCCATCTCTTTCCTTCTTTCGAATTTCAGTAATTGTCTTGTTTTTAAATTTCTCTTCATGGACAAGGCCTATGATTTGAAGGTCATCAACAGACAAGTGCATGTAATTTGATTATTCAATCAAACACAAAATATAGTTTAACTTCCCAATTGATGTGTGCACAATTTTTTCCCCCACTATCTTAACATCATCCCCCAAATCTCCAAAATTCCTCATAACATTTTCCACCAACCATTACTCTTCCAAAGTAATTATTCACAATTTCACATGCTATTCTTTCTCCATTTCCAACATTCATAATCACTTCTAAGCATGGTAAAGGAAACCGGATCGTACCGGCCGGTTGAACCGGTAAAACCGGAAACCGGCGCCTGGCCGATACGGTAGCCGTTTTGTAGTAAAGGAGCCGTTCCGGGAGGTTTTTCCGGTAAAACCGGTTTAATTCAAAAAACCGCCCGGTTTTGGTCTAACCGGGGTTAAGCTGCTGGGAAGAGTTGAGCGGCGATCGAGAAGCTATAGGTCGGAGACTTCAACTGGCTGGTGGAAACAGGGGAGATCGGCGGAGACGCAAAGGAGGTCGACGGGATCTGTGAAGCTACCAGTTGTTGTTGATGATGATTTCCTGTTGAGCAATTTCTTCGGGGTGATCGAAAGCGAAACCAGGACCATCGATTTGGGAAGCAGATAAAACGAAGAAAGTGAAGGGGGATTCACAAGTGGGTTTGGAATTGGATTGAAAGAATTTCCAATTCACAATCACAATAGAGAAGAAGAGGATAAAGCTCGACTTTGGATATGGGTACCGGGAAGGCTAAAGCTTCGATCAATCGCATGCAGCTACAAGCTCCCCCAAGCCCAGAGAGGGGGAACGATTTCTTCTGGTTATTGATGAGAGAGAGAGAGAGAGAGAGAGAGTAGCGGCCCGGAAGAAACAAAAGGGAAAATGGGGGTTCACGTGTGGTGGGGAATGGTGATTTAGGTTTAGGAATTTATTTAATGCTAAATATATATTTATCTTAAATGTAATTACTAATATGTTACTTAAAAATTAGATTATAAATCAGTCATCAAATTTCTTAGTCATTACATTATATTCGTGTATTTTAATTATTATATTGCATAATATTTTATAGTTATATTAAAATAAAAATTAATTATAATATAATAATGACGCTCTCTCTACGCTCTGAATATGTAGTTAATTCAGTAATGTTGCAGTCAACAGCATTTGAACGATTATGTAGTTAATTCAGTAATGTTGCAGTTTGTTGAATTTTATATTACATATGCTTATTTAGTTTATTCAGGTTTGTTATCCGGTATATTCCGGTAATATTCCGAAACGGTATCACAAATCTGCCGGTACGGTTTTTTAACAAAAAAAATATTATTTAATTACAAAAACGGTATTTTGCCGGTACACAACGGTTGAACCACGGTAGTACCACAAAATACCCTACCACTGGCGGAGCCGATATGACTTCCGGTACGGTTTCCTTTACCATGCTTCTAAGAGATTGCAACTGAGCTCTCTGAACCCTAGCACTCAACTGATACTTTGTCTTCATGAAATTTCAGAGCTCCCTTGCAGTATCCTTATGAGTGATTGTCTTCATTATGTTTTTCGACAGAGTCAAACAAATAGTTCTTAGCTTTGAGATCATCCAAAGCATTAACATAAGATGCAAAAAGCTCAACACCTAATGTTTATTCCTTGATTACATCACACACAACTCCCCCAATTCTTTTTTGGATTGGAGGCCGACTCATAATTTAAAGTCCGTATAGACCAAGTTAACGTAACTTAATTTGTAGTTAACTCAATCATGACAAACACTATTACACGGGACCTATCAATCAAAAACTCTAATATTATATCGAAAATTAAATCATTTCGGTTACTAGCTCGTCAGGAAATCACTAATGATGTAAGTACAGATTTTGATCTGATGAGCTGTCGAGTTAAGTAAACGAACAAATTAAGTACATGTACTGAGTGAGAATCGAAAATTTTTTAGTTTATATTTACAGGATAGCATAAATACATCACCATCATTCATCATAGAGAGTAGCAAGTGGGAGGGGGTTGTTATGTGGAACATGGGATCCATTATTTCATTCTACACATAAGTGTGAAATCTCGTGGAATGATCAAAAAGGGGAAAAAGCAACACTACTTTGCTCATGAGACCAGTACAAAGTTGATAATTAATATCCTTGTACATTGGCATCTCTTATTCTATCGTCCAAATTAAGGAAATTGGACACAAACGACATGTTGTGCTAGATAGGTGAATTGCTACTCACATGGGGTATTGAAGTTTGGCAATCTAGAGTGAATTTTGTTCCACTCGCCGCAATTTGTATGTTGATGTCGGACCACGGAAAGGTTAGTGTTTTACTTAGTCAGGGACTTGACTAAAGAATGATAACATTACTTTGTAAAGGATTCAAACTGGCATCGGCGCTTGTAAATTGGTGAGATTTACGTGATGGATAATATTCATATTTGACAAATCGATACAAGTCGAATAATCATATGAGAAATGTCATAATTGTCATCTCCATGTACAAGACCTTATATAAATAAATGTTTATGTCGTTGGATCGTATGTTCCACAAATCTACAGCCATAAATTTCCCCCTTTTTTTTCATTTTTTGAAAGAAAATCTAAAACCTTAGTTATATACACTAAATGACAATTTTGTTACATCTAATTACAGCGCTGTTCAACTAAATGCCATAAGCATGTACTTGCACAGAATACCATAACCAAATTCTATTTAGAGATCTGAGTACATAATGCCAAAAGTATGGGAAGATTATTGTTTCGTGGTAGTGCTCGTCACGGCGTCACCCGCCATGGATGGACCGACCATATCCCAAAGAACCCTAGGCCAAGGGGGACAAAAGAAAAACAAAACAGAAACTCAAATTCTGAATTCTGAGCACACACCACTAAATTGGGGGTCCAAGGTGAACTTTCACAACAAAGCAACCCCAAGTCCCAACTTTTATGGTTTATTCTTTTGCTCAAAAGCATTTTTCCAACTGCAAAATTTCATCTTTCCCAAATCTTATATTTGATTCTCTTCCCATGTACTAAAGTTTGGCTCATAATTTTACCACCACCCACCCTTCCCACCATTGACCCCTCCCTTATACATAGGGGCAGGGGTGGTTATACAGTCCGGTTAAATTGGCTCGAATTGATTCGGTTTGGATTCGATGTTTTTGGGAATATAATGATCAAAAATTGGATTGGATACAGTCTGGTCTTAAACAGGTCCGGTCTTGACCCGGTCCGGTCCCAATTGAGTCTTGATTTTAGATTGAACTTGTGGGCATTTGAGTGGCGTGAGGCCTCAAAGGGTGAGGAGTTGGTTAAGTTTTGGGTGTTGTGCTCTCTTATCCGGTCTTTATCTGGTTTTCGATCCGATCCCAAACGGATTTTTACACTAAAAACTAAGTCCGAAGATGAGATTTGATTGTTTGTTATCCGGTCCCAATCCGGATTATACGGTCCGTTTACAGGTAAAACCAAAAAACCCTGACCAAATAGCCAGCCGTACTTTTACATATCGTGCACAACAGAAAAGCTAGAAATAGCAGGTACAAATAGAGAATCATTGGTTCATTCATTCCCTTATTCATATCATATACACACACCCTGTTATTCCTAGTGAAAGATTTCTTGATGTTCATGACTTTGAGATTCATAAATGTCAGGAGTAATTTAAGAAATTGAGGCTTCCCGTCATGAAAAATTGACTGCATTAAAAGGATCACATAGTTGCTACTCTTTTCTTCTTATTATTAGATTCGGACCCAACCGGTTGGCCGGATATATTTCATCAATGTACAAATAATCATAGAAATGGTATAAAATAATATATCTTTTTCTGGGTACAATACAATAATGCAAAGGAGCCAAATCCTACAGAAACTATAGCACCACACTTTATTTAACTACTTTCTATTACAAATTATTGCAAAAATTGTCTTAAACTTCCTTTCATTTCAGTCGGCATCAAAAGGATCACAAAGTTGCCACGTACTTTTTTCTTCTTATTATTATTATTAGTGAATGATCGCTACATTCTTAACTTAACTATTCATCACTATCTGTCATTCACAGTGAAGTTTAACTTGCCAATTAACATCAAATTAAATTACCCATGGCCATCGTACGGTGGTTTATTCCTCATCCACACGCCACCTTTCAAAGCTAATTACTAAAATGTAAATGACAGAAACCATTCACGACGAAGCCCAAAAAAAAAAAAAAAAAATTTGCTTCCGTAATACGTAGTAGAAGTAGAAACGTACATTGTTAACAAAATCCATGAAAGCAACAACTTAATAATAATAATAATAATTACAGACCCACAAACTTAGCTTACGTCACAAATGGTACCTAAAATTAACCACTCCCCCCCAACTACTACCCCCAAAATATAATCATAAATTAACTCCCTCAAAACAATCCCAACCTGTTAGGAAATGGGTACAGTTACAACAATGCCCCTTCCCCCCATCCATTGATCACTAAACCCAGCTAATCAGTCTTCTTCTTCTTTTAGTACCGAGTTGGAAGCTCGCACTCCCCATATTCTGCAATTCACCATTTCATATAATTAATTAATACACAATCAATTCGATTATGTAATATTTACCGCAGTCAAATAGTCAAACAGTCAACTGACGCACTAAAATTCTACCCATGTCAGTAAAAACAATAATAACAATAATATATAATATTTGGAAGACGAAAGATTCTCACTATCCCCAACGTGATACCGTACTCTTTTGACCTCCCTTCTGACCACCTGGCGTGCACTACCTGGATCCCACCATTTTTCCCCCTCGATTTCCCACCCTACAGTCTTATACAACTCACCCGGTGCATTTTAACATTTACCACAACAGACAAAAAGATAGCGAGAGAGAGAGAATGAATGAGTCTAGAATACGCACTGGGTGGTTGGGTGACGACATACGCCGCGCCGCCGAAATAGCAGGAACCGCCGGCGCGCTCGTTCCTCTGGTAATAGCTATTGAACGCGAAGCTAGCGTGGGCCTCCACGGTGTTCGGCTTAAAGCACGCCGCCCCTGGCTGGATCTGCCGGCAGTCGGCGCCGCCTTCCCCGCAGGCGAAATCGAGGGCAGCCTGCAGCTTCTCCTCCCCGGCCTCTCCACTCGCTACGCACCACGTGTTCCTCGTCGTGCTCCTCGATACTCCGCCTCTGGTGACCGGAGGAGCGGTAACATGGCCGCCGCCGGTGGCCGGAGCTCTTTTGTCCTTGTATGTCTTCAGGCCTTGTAATGTGAAGGGGATGTCGTAGACCTTCTCTTCGTTGGGGTAAAAGAGGCCGTAGTTGCGCTCCGACGTCGGCCCGTTTTTGTCGTCCTCGTTGAACAGAGCGAAAAGGTAGACCGTCAGATCTGCCTTGGGCCTCAGAGGGGTCCCGCCACCAGTCAAGATCCGACGGACGAGATTGCCGTTGTAAGCAGCCGCGTTTGCCACGCTGGCACCGATCTCGGTTCCGTCGCCCTTGGAAGGCCATCCCGTCTCCGAAACCACCATCTCGATGTCGTCGAACTTCAGCGCCGACATCGCGGCGAACACGGCGTCGATCTGGGCGTCGAAGAGGCTGAAGTATCTCAACCCGTTGCCGGCGTCGACATTGCCGGGATTCTCCCTGAACAGAGCGTAGTCCAGCGAGATGACGTCGGAGTTCGCCTCGTACGCGAAGAACGGGTAAGCGTTCACCATCAAGTACGAGCCGGTCTCCCGGAGGAACTCCAGCATTGGGCGGAAGACCGGCTCGACGAGCTCCTGCCGGAATGACCCCGCCGACGACGGGTAGGAGTTCTGGAGCGCGCTGAGAGCGATTGGGGAAGAGACCTTAATGGCGGAGTGGAGGTTGGATTTCACCAGCGCCTGGTGGATGTTTCGCATTGCCTGGATCAAGAACTTGGTGGTGTTGTGAGTGTCGACGAACACTTCGTTCCCGACGGCGATGGCTTCGATCTCGGTCGCCGGATGGTAGGCGGCGACGTTTCTCTGCACCCACGCGGCTGCGAAGGAAGGCTTCTTGGCGGCGGAGGAGAGCATCTCGTTGGGTAAATCGACGGTGACCTTGATTCCGGATCTGGCCAGAGATCGGAGCACGGTGGGGTCGGCATCGAACACTTTCACCCGGCTTAGACCTTGTGATTTCAGCAGCTGCACGACTTTCACCGCCGACGGGAGGTTGTCGGCGATTCTGCCGTAGTTTACCCCGATAGAGCCCCCATCTGCAACAAAAATCAACATTAGAAATCACAGTAAGAAAAAAATTCGCCATAAAGGGAAGAGGGGTCGCGGAATCGCCATTATTTACCTGCGAAGAAGGGGGTGAAGAGAAGGAGTGAAGCAAAGGCGGAGAGGAAACGAGAGGGAGGCGCCATTGCTCACTCGTTTTTCAGACTTGGGAGAGAAGAGGCAATGGAGTGGAGAGAGTGAGAGTAGTGCTTTTTTACTGCTTAGTGGAGCAGAGAATGTGGGGGATGAGAGCAGGTTTATGTGGGAGTTATAAACAAGCGGAAAATAAGCAGAAGAAAGAAGAATGGAGGGGACAAAACGACGGTGCGTTTTGGTAAGCTCGAGAAGAAAAATATGGCAGATAGTGACAAGAATTTTGCTTTTCTCTCCATTGGCATGTGATTTCCTCTTTTGCCTCTGTTGTTGCTGTTTCTCACCATTGGCATTTGCATCTCCAACTCCATGCTCTAATATGTCTGTGTTCTCTTATTATCCGATTAGTGGAGCAGAGAACGTGGGGGATGAGTGAAGGTTTATGTGGGTGTTATAAAAAGCGGAAAATAAGCAGAATAAGAATGGAGGGAACAAACGACGGAGCGTTTTGCTTAGCTCGAGAGAAAAAGAAGTGGGACCCACACATGGCAGATATTGACAAGAATTGTAGTCCATGTGGGACCATGTTCTCTCTCAACTCTCAAGTTCCCTTTACCACAGGCCTCAGTTTGTTTCAAAATCCAAACCAATAGTACTTATTAAGGCTTATAAACGGTTAGTCAATTATCGATTTTAATAAACGATGATAATGATCAACCAGTAATCAAGATTTTGAAGTCGGTTTAGCTTGTTGGTCTGGTTGACCACGTGAGTTGAGGGTTAATGATACGATCGTTTAAGTCCGGTTTAGCTCATTAGTATAATCATATGATTTCGGATTTTGGCTAAGGGAAAAGTCTCATGATTCATAAATCATAACCAGTCAAATTTACAGTTTCTCCCAATTCTCATATGTTAGAAAGTTTAAACAACCCTCTACCCAAAGTCTCAAATATGTTTCGAGAGTCAAAACTCGAAACCACCCCTCTCCGGCTCTTCTTTGCAGTTGATAGAGCGAACCTCGCACCTAGTAGTCTTTGTTTGTTTGATGTTTGTGAATGATGATGACCTTGGGTTACTTGTGTTTGATATATTGCTAGTCGGTACCCATTAATTCGATGAAGATGTTTGATTATTTTTAATTTTATGTGCTGAAATTTCAATTATGAATTCATTATAGATAGAATTTGTAGCAATCATCATCAGTAGGTAACGAAAGTGAATGGTAAGGATACGAATCTTAACTCCAAAAGGTCTTTCAACCATAGACGCCAAGTTAAAGGAGGTAGACAGAAGAAGCGTAGAATTGTATTGATGTTATTTATTATATTTTATTATTTTATGTTAATAATGTAGAGATCTAGTTAAAATTTTTGAGATATTTGTATGATTATATTTTATTATAAAAGAACACAATAAAAATCAAAAGAAAAATATCTCACATGAAGGTTGTTATTGGTTAGTGGTTCCAAATTAACCACAAACTGAACCAATAACAGGGTTAACCGATAAAGCTTATTGGCTCAATTTTTTATACGCATTTTTGCTTAGTAATTACCTAACACTAAACTGATTTGCACCCCTAAATTAAAAGAAGAAAACCAATTCCAATCCAACTCAATGAATATCCGAGTAGCCTATGATAGCAAATAATTCCTCCAAACACATACTTCTTTATATTATTGAAGTTTATCCTACAATTATATTGTCATTACCACTAAAAAAATGGGCAATATTAACTTTTATAAATTACTAAAATTATTTAGGTTTATACATGAAATAACGTCTGGAGCAGGAGCGCTTTCCCAAACTTCACCAAACATAAAAATAGGATCCAGAAGGCGCTGAAAGCTCTTCATTACATGCAGCGAACCCAGTAGGTGATAATGTAGATGAAGCGGCTCGAGGAGGAGTTGGATGTGATTAAGTCGAACAAAGAGGAGTATTGGAAACAACGATCAAGAGTTGACTGGCTGAAGGGGAGTAACCGCAATACCAATTTTTCCACTGAAAAGCTTCAGCGCACATAAAAAGGAATACAATTAAGAGATTGAAGGATGAGACAGGCGGATGGGTGTCGGGGCAGGAGGAAGTGTTCATGTGTTTAACTATTATTTTCGTGTCCTTTTTACTGCAGGCACCACACCTAATGTCACTCTAGTTTTAGACTTTATTCAGAGTAACGTCACACGGATCAGAATGTCGAGCTGAATAAACCTTTTGACAGAGAAGAAGTATTCCGAGCCTTGAAACAAATGGGGAAGAGAAAAGCCCCAGGGACGGATGGAATGTCAGTGCTTTTCTTAAGAAAGTATTGACACATCATCGGGGACGACGTGGCCAATACAATATTGGGTTTATTGGAGACATTGGGAGATGCACAACCAACTAAATCACACACTTATCGCTCTAATTCCTAAGGTGAAATCTCTCACGACACTAAAGGAATTTGGACCGATACGTCTGTGTAATGTCCTCTACAAGATAGTCTCAAAGGCGCTGGCGAACAGAATGAAAATCGTACTGGACAGAATCATATCGTCGGAACAAAGTGTTTTTGTGCTCAGATGGTGCATCGCAGACAATATAATGGGGGCGTTTGAAAGTTTCCACACAATGAAGAAGAAGAATAAGAAGAAGGGTGGTCAAGGTTTCTTTGCAGCTAAGATAGATATGACCAAAGCCTATGACAGAGTAGAGTGGAGATTTAAGGAAGGGGCGATGATGAAGATGGGGTTCACGGTACGATGGGTACGATTGATCATGATGTGTGTGACAACTGTGTCATATTCCATCCTGGTCAATGGACACCAATCACCAAGCTTTATTCCGGAACAAGGTTTGCGGCAAGGGGATCCCTTGTCACTGTACCTATTCCTACTTTGTGCTGAGGGACTGTCTGCCTACATGAAGAAAGAGACCGAAGACAATCTCTTTCATGGCATCAAGCTGGCAGTCAGGGCCCTAACGCTGTTACATCTTTTTTCGCTGACGATGTTGTTGTTTTTTTGGCAAGGCAAATGTGCAAGAGAGCTCCAAGCTCAAAGAGATCCTCAAGGCCTATGAAACGGAATCGGGCCAATAGATAAATTTCCAGAAGTTTGCTGTATCATTTAGCGGCAATGTCTCCACGCATCAACAAGTGATGGTAAGCGGCACACTGGAGATGGTGATAGTGGAGAAACATGACAAATATTTAGGTCTCCCTACTCTGGTGGGACGATCGAATAAGGAATTTTTTCAGAACATCAAAGAACGAGTGAGGAAGAATCTCAAAGGGTGGAAGGAAAAAGTGCTATCAGTAGCAGGAAGGGAGACACTCGTCAAGTCGGTTGCACAAGCTTAGTTTGTCTATGTCATGTCAGTCTTTAGAGTCCCACTGACAACCCTCAATGAAGTTCAGAGTATAATCCTTAATTTCTATTGGGTCTAGAGAGGGGAGGAGCGAAGAGTACACTGGGTGAGCAAGGAAGGAATGGTAGTACCAAAGGAAGAGGGAGGCTTGGGCTTCTAGAGGGCTTTAAACATGTTTGTTGGAAAGCAGTTGTGGCAGTTGTACCAGAGTGATGACTCGCTGATCCCGAATATCTTCCGTGCAAAATACCACAAGAATGGTTCCATTCTTGATACACGAGTCAACCACAACCCCAGCTTCATTTGGCGAAGCTTGTTGAGTGCTCAAGAGTTCTTGGTTAGTGGGCTCCGATGGCATATTGGTAATGAGTCGAGTGTCAGGATTTGGGGGGATAACTGGCTTCCATCTGGGGAGGTTTAATTTGTTAGCTCAGAACCAAGGGGACTGCTTGTGGATTCTACAGTTCGCAAACTAATCTACATCGATGAAGAGAAATGGGATTATAACCTCCTGGCAGTTGCTTTCCCTTCGAAATTGCTTCTATCATCCTTCAGATACCGCTATGCGATACCATGGAGAGGGATAGACAAATCTGGAATGGGAGCAAGAATGGTGATTTTACAGTTACAGAAGGGTACCACAAGTGGGTTCAAGACCGAGTGAGCACAGGTCTATTGCCGCAGGTGGGGGAAAATGAAATATGAAAGAAATTATGGGCGATGAACGTCCCTCCAAAAAACAAAAAAGCATTTCATGTGGAGATTTGCGCGGAAGATACTCCTAACGGGAGACCAAATAAGCACTAAAAGTAAAAGAAGGGGCGACAGATGTGGTTTCTACGACAACTGAGAAACACAAATCTACTTCTTTGCCGAGTGTGAATGGGCATCTCGCTTGTAGAGAGGGTCAGGCGTGGTTGGTTGCTTTACCCAGAGGGGGGATGCCAATTGTTACGAATGGGTGACGAAGAGTGAAGAGGATACCACCTTTGAGGTTTGGACTGTGCTCCTTGGTCCTCATATTTCCACAACTAACTAATGGATTGTTACGAATGGATGCCGATTGTTACGAATGGGTTTGTTCGTCGACCAACAGGGTTAAAACAGGTCAAAACCAGATTGAGACCAGACCGGTCAAAACTGTACTGTACCCAATCCAATCTTTGATCCTCATATTTCCACCACTAACTAATTCTCACTCCCCCCCAACGCACACAACAAGCTCAACCCCGTAGAGCTCGAAACTTGAGATTAATTAAGGTGTTTACAGCTTGCCAAAGTGGAAATACAAGGGTAGACAAAAAAACGTAAAAAACAAAAAAGAGTTTACATAAGAAATCATATGCATTAATAGCTCTCTCATTGCGACATAAATGCAAAGATTCTCCAATAATTAATTTGATAATAAAATATGAGTTGGAGTATAAGTATGAACTTGTAACAAGTAGGTGCTCCTTTCGATTCCGAGACAATCACTAATGACTTCTTCAGTAGTAGGATCCAAAACAAACACTTTGCGATTACTATCTCCAATCTTTTGTGAACAGACGTATTTACCATCCTTCCAAACTTCTAAGGTGCGGTTCATTGCCCATATCGGTGATTGAAAGTTAAATAGTTTAGTCCAAGACTCACCAACTACATATTTCATCAATCCCCATATCTGAAACTGAGTGATATCCTCAAAATCAACAAGATCGAAAGTTGTCACGAATGCCTCCTTTATCATAAAACAAGATCCAGGATACCAGCCAATCTCACTTAGATCAGCAGGTACAGGAATAGTATTGACTTCAAACACTTCTTTGCTCATGTCGAACGAAACAATACCAAAATTTCCATCATTCGTCGAGTACGACCAATAACACCTCTCGCTTCGTGACGTACTATCGCGATGAACATAGTTGGGTGCGTACCCAATCAAATCAGAATTGTCAGTTAGTCTCTTCCACGAATCATTCCTCAGACTATAAACCTAGCCTCAACAAGCAAATAACAATGAAGAAAAATCAAAACTTCTCATACTGGTCAATTTTGACTTTACAAAACGTTGTAGATTATCCGGTCAAGTAACACTTGGCCAATCAAATTGAAAGTAGTGATTCGAATTTACCTCTTTATAAGTAAACGGAGGAGGGCAATCAAGTTTCTCAAGATCATCATCATGATCATCACCGTCGTCTTCAATTCCCTGAAATTTCAACGATCTGACAACTTTGAAGTCGCGGGTCAGGGGATCAAAACCGAAACCGGTGTACTCACAGCATACGCGGAGGTACGGAGGATGGGGACAAGGGGAAAGAGGCAGGAAATTGGTCTCGCAAGTCGTCGGATTCCACAGAATGATGTCGGAGGCACCGTCATGGTTCTCGTCGGAGATGCAGAATATCCCGTCGCTATACCCGACGATGGTCAAACGGAAAGTTGACCACTGAGTACGCATCTTGTAGGGGATGGAGGGCACAGTACCCTCGGCGGCGGCGGCGGCGGCAGAGATGGGGCAGAGGGTGTCGTAGGAGTGCAAGGAGTAGTGGATCTGCTTCTGCTGGACAGGGACAGCATCTTCTCCACCGGCGATTAGGACTTGGAGGGATTGTTGGTCGGCGGGAGTTTGGAAGAAGAGGATCCTGCGGATGAATTGGGGATCTGAGAGGAGAATCCGCCAGGATCTGCAGACGCAGCGGAATCGGAAGATACATGAAGCGATTGGCAATCTGAGGAGAATGTTGATCACTATGTCTTCCGTGAGGAAGTATGCCGGAGACTCGCCGTTGCTTTCCCCGGCCATTTGGTATGGCGTAGACCAAGGCAAGGAATTTGAATATATGCTCAACGGGAAGAATGGGAGTGGGTCTCTTGAAATAGTACTCTGTTTTCCTTGCTCTCCACTCTTTCCAGCTTTTTGGTCGCTTATTGTATTGATGGTGGTGGTCAAATGTCAACGATTAGTGGAGGAGGAAATGAAACATTGAACAGCGGAGAATTGCTGGTAATAGTAAGAATCGCCGTGTGCAAGTGGCCCGAGTAACCCTGAATTAAGGATTCTTATACCGTGTTCAACGTTCGTTAGGATTAAATATGAATTATAGATCAACAAGCAATCATCGGTAAAGTTGTACATTAAAGAACCAATGCTATATAGCATAATAGAAGTGCTCATTACGAAAGTGTCACCACCAATTAAACATGTGAGATCACAATGTCGATACTTCGTGATCCAATTACAGCAACCGAAGCTAGCAACCCATTCACCGTTGTTTACAATGCAGTTAAAATCACGCTTTAAAACTTAAAAGCTTATGATTTTACCTTTATAGGTCACAAAAATGGCTCTACGTATAATCGTGATTTTCCCTTACAAATGTAATCAAAATCTACGCTTTAAAACTTAAAAACTTACGGTTTTACGCTTAGCTTCTAAGTCAACCAACCGCTTATTGAAAGAATCGCGCTTTTGACTGCATTGTTTGTTTGCGTTATGTTTCCCCATTTTGTTACCATACTACGTACCTCAGATTGGGAATGGAATCGGCTAGTCTTCGACAATCATAGTTAGTAAAGTACGATATGAGAAAGTTACGTATAACATACGTATCGGTATTTTACTTCGTTTCTAACCGAATATTATGTTAATAGTACATTAATAGTAATAAATAAATAAAATTAATTATTTTAAAAATATATAAAATATTAATAATAGTAAAATTAACAATTAAATTTATTAAAAACGATTAAACGTGTTATACGAGTTTATATGTGTTTAGTATGAAAGCCATCAAATGAACGAGAAAAAATGAAACGAATTGACAATAATACGAATACGAAATTTTTAAACGGATAAAATACATACGCGTACATATACATGTATTAAACGAAGTATTTACTAACTACGTCGACAATACAATAGAATTCCTGAATGGACCGCAACATAACAGCGACACAATCACAACCCATTTTGTCGGCCCAACTAATCCCTAGAGTCATCAGTCATAGATCGAGTTACGGCCCAATTTCGAGCGTATTTTATGTCTGTATCTTTCCTTAATATAACAACTGCTTCGGTTGCTAACCTAGCGACCTCTTTCATTGGGGTTCCATTTCGAGCAGATTCCTTAATCAAAGGGCAATATGGCGGAAAAAGAAAAGAACGAATCTCACCCTCCAACATACTTCCTAACGGAAGATATAGTGATCGACATTCTCCTCAGATTACCAGTCGCTTCATGTATTTTCCAGTACCGCTGCGTCTGCAAATCATGGCGGAGTCTCCTCTCAGATCCCCAATTCATCCGCAAGATCCTCTTCTTCCGAAACCTCGCCGACAGACGATCCCTCCAAATTATCATCGCCGGAGGAGATCTCGATGCGAACAGCCTCAACAAAAAATTCCACTACTCCTTGCATTCATACGACACACTCCGCCCCGTTTCCGCCGTAGGCCGAGAATTTCCCTCCATCCCCGACAAAATTCACAATCCTTGGTCCCGCCTGACCGTCATCGGCGGTTGCGACGGCCTACGCTGCATCTCCGACGAAAATGGGTGCGGCGCCAGCGAAATCATTATGTGGAATCCGACGACCTCAGAGACCAAGTTCCTCCCACGTTCCACTTGTCCTCCCGCTCCCGACGGAATGTATAACTACGGCCAGTCCATCGGTATCGGTTTCGATCCCTTGACCCGGGACTACAAGGTTGTCAGTGATAGAGATAATATATCTCCCTGAAGATAGGAACTGACTGTTAGCCTTGTTCTCCACTACTCTGTGTCTGTTGCATATCTTCAGGAAGACTCTCCGTAGGATTAGCTTCTACATGTAACAGCCTGATGTATAAATACATTTACATAATAGTGAATAGATGGGATTTCCTTTATGGTATCAGAGCCTCATAGCCTAATAGACTCTAACGAGTTTTTTTTTCCTTCCTCTTCCCTCTGCTATTTTCCTTCTCCCTGTTTGCAATGTCGACAGCTTCCTCCACCACTTCCTCTACTACCAATTCTGTATCCTCCAGTTCTGCGCCCACACTATCTCTGCCACCAATCCCCAATTGACCATCAAGCTCACGCCGAACAACTATTTGTTGTGGAAGACCCAGCTTCTTTCCCTTCTCCGCTGTTTCGGTTTGATTGGCCAGATCGATGGCATACTGCCGCCTCCGCCGGAAACCATTGATTCCCAGCCGAATCCAACCTATGGAGAATGGTATCAAAGGGATCAACTAGTTCCGATTTGGACCAATATGTTGTTATCGGAGGCAGTGCTGTCCACTATCGTCAATAAATCTACTGCTCGTGATGCCTGGGATTCTATTGCTCGTGTCTACGGCTCTGCCTCGCCGATGATTGTGCGGCAACTTCGTGGCTCTCTCAAGCGCCTGGCTCGTGGATCTGAATCGGCTCACGAATATCTCCAGCGTGCCAAGGGAATTGCCGACAATCTGGCTGCTCTTGATGATCCTGTCAAAGAGTCCGAACTCGTCGGCGCCCTCATGGACGGTCTTGGTGATGAATATCTCCCTTTCACTCGGACTCTTGAAGCTCGACTCACTCCGATTTCCTTTGATGACTTCAGCAGCCTTCTCCTCAGTGAAGAGATGCAACTCCAGCGCCATCAGAGTGTTGATAGTGACATGGCTTTCCCACAGGCGTTTTATGCAGGCGGCGGGGTTCGTGGCCGTAGTGGTCGCAGCTACAGAGGAAGGGGTGGCCGCTATGGGGCTGGCGGTCGTGGCCCTTCTTATGGTCCTAGCTCCTCTCAGCCCAACCTTCCTTCCTGGCCCAACTCTTCTATATTTAACAATTATTCCAAGCCTTTTAATGTAGGTGTACTTGGAGCTGGGCCTTCAGGCCCGTCAACCCCTATTTGTTTGTGAAATAATTGTGGTGGAAGGGGCCATATCAGGCCTAATTGTCCAAGCCCATGTTATCCATCCCACTCCTCCTTCCCTTTTTGCACAAACTTCTCTACCAGCCTAATCTTCTAAACAATGGATCATGGATTCTGGGGCTAATAATCACTTGACTTCGGATCTTGACAACTTGGCTCATCATTCGGAATACAATGGCACAGATCAAGTCACCTTTGGCAATGGTAAAACTCTTCCAATAACTCACTCTGGCTCCTCTCAAGCTCTACTGCCTAATTATTCTCTTTCTTTGAATAATATTTTGTGTGTTCGCGATGCTCCTCACAACCTTCTTTCGGTGAGTTCTCTTACTCGATCTAATCCTGTTTCCATTGAATTCTTTGATTCTTATTTTGTTATCAAGGACCGTCGCACCAAGCATGAACTCTACCGGGGCTCCACAATTGATGGTCTTTACTCCCTCCCGCTTCACATCATCAGTCGGTTCGCTCCTCGTGTTTTTGTTGCATCCCTTGATCTTTGGCACCAGCGTTTTGGCCACGCCAATTTTCAAGCCGTTCAACGTCTTCTGTCTCACAATCAAATAAATTATGCTCCCAAATCTTCGTGTTCTTTGTGTCTTGGATGTTCTGTTAGCAAGATTCACAAATTACCCTTTCCTTCTTCTACTTTTCATGCTTCTGCGCCACTAGAACTTATATGTAGTGATCTTTGGGGGCCTGCTCCAATTTTATCCTATGATAAACAATCTTATTATGTTCTCTTTTATGATCACTTCAGCAAGTTTTGTTGGATTTATTTTATTCAATATAAATCTCAACTATTGAGTGTCTTTGTTCAATTCCGTCAGTTAATTGAGAATTTTTTTGGCCTTCCGATCAAATCATTTCAACCCGACTGGGGCGGTGAGTATGAGGCTCTTTCGACATATCTTACTACCCATGGTATAGTTTATCGCTCTTCTTGTCCATATACTCCTGAGCAGAATGGTTGTGCTAAACGCAAGCATCGTCATATTGTCACCAATGGTCTTGCTATGTTGCATCATGCGTGTGTCCCTTTGAAATATTGGCCTCTGAGTTTGATACGGCCTGCTACCTCATCAATCGTACTCCCACACCTCTTCTTCGTAATGCTACTCCTTTTTCCACATTGTTTTCTCATGATCCTGACATTCAAAACCTTTGTGTTTTTGGCTGTTTGTGTTATCCTTGGCTCCGTCCTTATGTGCCTCATAAACTTGCTCTATGATCTATTGCTTGTGTTTTCCTTGGATACAGTAAATTACACAAAAGGTTATCGTTGCCTTGATCCTATCACTGGCCGTATTTATATTAGTCGCCATGTTTTGTTTGAAGAGTCACAGTTTCCTTTTGCAGATATGAAATCAAGGCCCCAACAAGAGTCCACGGCCCATCCTCTGTCCCACCCAACTATCTTACCATTTCTGCCTATCTCTTCTCACGGCCCACACTTACATTCCCCACATTTATCTCAACCCCCTACTGCAGCCCAACCATCCACTCCAAACCCCACCTCTGATTCAGCCCATAATTCTCCCCCAGGCCTATCTTCAACCCCTGACCCAACTCCCCCTCTTCCAACCCCTTCACCCTCGTGAACCTCCCCTATACCAACTCCACTCACCGACCAGACTCCTACTACACTTCGCCCTTCTTCACCATCGCCTCCACTCCTTCAACGTCCTCGTTTCACCACCTCGCCAAGAATCATTCCATCCTCCCCCGCGCCTCTTCCACCCCGGCGGATGGTCACCCACCAGCAAACCACCAAGCTTAAACCAAAACAATTTCTAGCCGCTGCTCCACATTCGCTCCCTTCCACGGTTGCTCAGGCTTGGAAATCGCCCCAATGGAACTTGGATATGACAACTGAGTTTGATGCTTTGATCCGAAATCAGACGTGGGATCTGGTTCTCCCGCCGCCATCCTGCAATATAATCTCCAATCGTTGGGTTTATGCGATTAAAACTCTTCCAGATGGCTCCATCGAACGCCATCGCGCACGCCTTGTTGCTCGTGGTTTTGAGCAGGTTCCTGGCTGCGATTACACAGACTTTTAGTCCGGTCCTCAAACCAGCAACGCTGCGCCTCATTCTGGGTATTTTGGTTTCGCACCCGTGGCTGCTTCATCAACTGGACATATCCAATGCCTTCCTCAATGGGACACTCGACGAGGAGGTTTATATGCAGCAACCTAAAGGATTTGTTGATTCGGTTCATCCTGACTATATATGCAAGCTGCGAAAATCTATTTCCGGCCTACGCCAGGCTCCTCGGTGCTAGTTCAAATGCTTGTCTGCTGCCATTCAGGATTTTGGTTTTGTAGCCTCCAAGACAGATCCCTCCCTCTTTATCTACTGCCAGCAATTTGCTACTCTATATATGCTGGTGTATGTGGATGATATTGTTATTACGAGTAATCATTCTGCTCTTATCAATCGATTGCTGTCTTTTCTGCAAAACCAATTTGCGCTGCGTGATTTGGGCTTATCTTATTTCCTCGGCTTGGAGGTTCACCAAACACCCACTGGACTTCTCCTCAATCAAACTAAATATGTTCGTAATCTGCTTGAACGGTCCAGTATGGCAGAGGCTAAATCTATTTCCACTCCATGTACAAGTGATCTGGTTCTGCAGTGTGCAATGGATACTTCAACTGCCTTTTCGGATCCTGGATTATATCGAAGCATTGTTGGTGGTCTTTAGTACCTTAGCTTTACTCGCCCAGACATATCCTTTGCGGTGAACCACGTTTCTCAATACCAACATGCTCCGTCAGAAGTTCATCGGTCTGCTGTCAAGCGCATTCTGCGCTCCTTACATGGAACCGTTACAAGGGGCTTGGTCTTCAATCGCTCCTCCAGCTTTCACATACATGGGTACTCTGATGCCTCCTTTGCTTCCTGTCCTAAGGATCGAAAGTCCACCACAGGTTTTGCGGTGTTTCTGGGCAGCAATTTGGTTTCTTGGTCTACTCGAAAACAAAAAGCAGTGGCCCGTTCCCCCACCTAGAGTGAGTACCGCGCACTGGCTACATTTGCTTCTGAAGTAATCTGGTTGCAGTCGCTTCTTTCTGAACTCGTTCAACCGCTTTCTTCTTCTCCCGTGCTTTGGTGTGATAATCTAGGGGCGACATACTTAGCTCATAATCCCGTGTTCCACAGTCGCTCCAAGCATATGGAGATTGATTTTCATTTTGTTCGCGATCGGGTCACGAAGGGACAACTTAATGTTCGTTACTTACCGGCTACTGATCAACTTGCTGATGTTCTCACTAAGCCTCTCAATCGGCTTCCATTCAACCAGTTTTGCTCCAAGTTTCGTGTAACACCCTACCCTGTACGTTTTTCCTGATCGTATTGTTCATACAATTGCAGCGGAATTTAAAACTGGTGTTACATTGATTACCAAAATCTACCCAAATAAAATTTCGACATGAATTACTCGCGTAATGGGCTAACGTTCTTGCAACTTATCCTGCAAAATAATTCATCACAAACGTATATACTCACAACTATATGCATTGACTTTCATAGTCACAGTTTTCATACTCCACAACTGCATACCATACTTATAAATGTCATAATCATCACAACTTACACAATTACAAAAATATACACATATCAACAACCTTCCACACCTGTGGATATCTCACACTACATCAGAAGCTAGTATGCACATGAAAAACGTTCTCAAAACATTTTTACAAAAAGGTGTGGATCACTGGCCAAAATCCCTAGTAGTCGTCCAAGCACAGAATAGTCGAAGACAATACGTCATTCTGCCTTCAACTCCTCGTTCTGCTCACACCTATGTACTTGCTACTGCTACCG